TGGAAATAAAAGCTATTAGAAGGATTTTGAGCTTTATTCACTTTTTTCAACACACTGCTATTATTTTGAACACAACTGTATGTTTTGGATCATTGTCATGTTGGAAAAGTGCATGATGATCACGGGCAAGGAGCATCTTCTCTTTCAATATAGAGCACTACATCTGTGAATTCACAATACCATCAATGAAATACAGCTGCCCGACACCAGCAGCACTCATTCAGCCCCACAGAAGGACACTGCCACCACCATATTTCACTGAAGGCACCATGCATTCTTCTTTGCATTCTTTACCTTTGCAACGCCATACAGTCTTGAAGCCATCAGTTCCAAAAACATTTATCTTGGTCTCATCACTCCAGAGTACAGAGTCCCAGTAGTCTTCTTTTTCAGCATGGGCCCTGGCATATTCTAGGTGGGCTTATTTGTGCATGGGCTTCAGGAGAGAGGCTTCCTTCATGGACAACATCTTTGCACATCATTCCTCTGCAGTGTATGCCGTATTGTGTCACAGGAAACAATCCCCCCAGCTTGGCTTTCTACGTCTTTACCTAACTGCAGTCAACTTGCATGGCGATTTTCTTCAACCATTCTCATCAGAAAACCCTCCTGTTGAGGTGTTAACGTTTGTGGACAGCCTGGATGTCTCTGTGAGATGGTGGCAGTTCCATCTTTGTTAAATTTTTGTATTACTTTTGCTGCAGTATTCTGACTGGTAAGTAAAGCTTTGCTGATCTTCTTGTAGCCTTCGGCTTTCTTGTGTAAAGAAATTATTTTCTTTCGCTGGCCTCTCTCTTCCATGTGGTGCCATTGCTGACAGCATGAAATGTGAAGTGGTTTTCTTTGTTAAGGAACGCCCTTTTATAATCAACTGTCTACTGGACACCTGTTTGATGAATAATTAGACTCACCTGTAGTCGAATTCTTGTTAATTAGGATTTTGTCATCTAAAATTTAGCTTTGCTCCTAAGACTTTCATTGGGGTGTATTCATGTTTGCAACATGGTCTTGAATGAATTTGTTAGGAAATATACTTTTTTGTATGTGCAAATCAACAAAATTTAACAAAAATTAACAAATCTTGTTTGCAATCAATGGCCTGAATTTGTGGGAGTATTTTGCAGTAAAGTGTATCATAGAAAATGTTGATTCTGAAAGAAAAGTAAAGGTTTTCTAACAAATCTGTTGGGGTGTACTCATTAATGCTGAGCACTGTATATTTACCTTAAATTACCTCTAATCAGCCATATGTAACTTCTTCCTCCCCTTTGCTATTTTTTCTGCTGCTTTTTTTTTTCTATTGTTTTTTACTTATTTTTTTAAGGTATTTTCTGTTTCATTCATTTTGTTCATAATTTTCTTCAGTGTTCCATTAAAAAACAAATGCACAAAATTAAAAAAAAAAAAAAAAAAAAAAAAAAAAAAAAAAAAAAAAAAAAAAGATACGCCTGTTCTTTTGTACCTAAAGCAATTTGGACATTTACAGTCGCTTTTCTGGAAACGAAAGGAAAAGTATGTGGCAAATCTTTATTACTGTCATTTTGCGTGCAATAAGCTCATTTATCTGGCAGGCCTGAACAGGTCACTGCATCCTTCAATTGTCTACAGCTGTGTGATAAAAGAAGTGATCTTTCTGGTTCTGGAAACTCCAAGAGTTCAATGTAGTGAAGGAAATGCATTCTTCAAGTAGAGTTTACTTGTGATTTTGTAACTAAAGCTGGCCATACACATTTAATTTTTTTTTTTCCAGGTCAGCCTGTAGGCTGAACATAAAAAAATCTGGCAGATTCCACCATCTATGCTACAGAGCACAGATGGATTAATCTCCCACTGTGACTATTGTATTCTGATAGCTGTCCGCACCTGCTGTAAAAATACCGGAACAGTGCCTGCACTTTGTACAACAATCTTTCTACCTGCTGATGTTTCATACATGGGATGCCGGAAGGGAGGTGGTCAGCAGGGCCACCCACAGCACAAATTTCAGCCAATTAATCAGGAACATGTACAGCAGTGAATAGACATCTTAACAAAATTTCTATAACAGATTACGTTGGTCAGTAAAGATGTGAAATAAAAAAAAAATGCGGCTAAAAAAAATGATACTACCAGTTTATTAATTTTTAGTTTACCAACAATATGTTAGACTTAAAGTCTTTGTCATTAATGCCACATTAATTAGCACCTTTGCTACTGCTTGTGCATTTAACACTTGATTCTTTCCTATCATCCTGTAATGGGGTGAGAGGCCCCTTCTGCGCATCCCCAGCTTGATTTCTCTATTACCATGTAGCATTCCCTCTTCAGCTCTGTCTTTGATCTCTACCCTTTTTCCCTAAACAATGCCACAAACCGTTATTTCATATTGGGCTTGTTCTATACCTACTTATTTTTATTTTTTACCCTAGTACCCAATTTCTCTTTTTTATCTGATAAAGACTAACACACTGAATTCTTCCCAGATAGCAGTAAAATAAAAATCAACTCATCCATAAACATTACGATATAGGGCAAAAACATTTTATGGAGGAAATTAACAGATGTGAATGCAGCAGAGGATCAGGGAAGTCTGATGAAAAAGGATCTAGTCATGTGAAGAAGAGATGCCCTGACACTGCAAAGCATTTATTAAATATACAATAAGATTAACCATGTTAAAAATAAAAAAAAAAGATGACACCCTGCACTACCAATATATGGGAAGAAAATGTAAATAAACTATGCATGTTGTCGCTAGATCACTGTCATATGTTCCCACATCCACTGAAATACACCGCTCTGCACTCACGTATGTACATACATAAACCATGTTGCCTATTTCACACTATATGCAAAAGGTGTAAATGTAAGCCATTATGGGTATAAATGCTATGTGTACAATGTTACCATTTCCCTTTCTATCAAGGGCAGACACATTTCCAACCCATTGCTGTATGTCTTTCACTACTTTAATACTGAGATAAATGCAAAGAATTGGCAGCTTATCTTTGTAAGAGAAAGTTGTCAACCTTTGTTACCCTGTGATACAGTCCTGAGCACATAGGCTGAAGTAAAGCGAAATCAAAACTGAATCTGCTTACTGGTGAATAACCAATCTCAAGTTATGCCCTAAGTTTTGCCCCAAATTCTGCCCTCAGTTGTTGGAACTATGCAGTCCTCATATTTTTATCACTTGAAAAACTGCACTTTGAAGAGTTAAGAAGCATTTGTGAAAAGTTTCCTTCTTCCGGCAGCCTTGCCCAGTCATGTACACTGCGTCATTCCCTGGAAGGAGGAGGAATCCAGTCACTGAGCCCAGGAGCTCCTGTCCTTTGTGTGTGACCACACATTTCTCATGGAGCCATCAATGAAGCAGCACTGCTTGTTATTTGGAGCAGGACGACGACTATACATAGCATGAACTAAACACAGAGCATGAAAATGAAGACCCTGCTACTTCTGATTCTTTTCTCAGAGTCTACGCTCTGTCTGTTTGGTGAGTACAGAGACCTTTTACATATATACTTATGTGTAATACCTACAATCACAGGAAAGGGTTCGGCACTCCACAGCTGTGCCATGGTGTAAGGTTACATGATATCATAAAAACTAGCTAATCAAGTCTTTCAAGTTGGAGTCTTGGTTAAAACTATAGTCATAGTTTATGTGTGGACTAAAATATGTAAATAATCTACTTTATCAGAAAATTAGGCACTATGTGGTTTTCAAACAGTTAATAATTATGTAAAGGAATGATCTTTTGTCTAAAGCAATGCTGTCTATTTCTACCCCTATCAAATTATGGTTGGATAGAAAAATATTTGTAAATCTATAGACATTCTGATACCACAACATACAACCTTCCTGATGACCGATCATGACCAGCTCTGTTGACCTATCTGATCACTAGTTTGTCCTGAAATAAGTCCGCTACCAAGGGTGCCCAGCAACCAAGTGTGGATGTTACACCATGATGAACAGCAAAAGAATCAGCAGTAGGATGGTCTTCAAACCTCATCTAATGCCCATGGCCACCTTTAAGTTTAATCACTAATTTTGCTCCTAAATTCAGGCTCAAATGCATTCCTCAAGGACTGAAGTAAGACAGTCCAATAAAATTATAGCCACAAACATGAAAAGGATGTTGTCGAGTAGTACCGAGATTGGCAGGACTATAAGTTGATCAGGGTATTTATTCCCTGGTCATGCACAGCAAATCTTTCACTAACACAAAAATGCTGAGAGATCGCTTTATTTGCCCTCAACTTGGTCAACATTGAGATGACAAATTAAGTCATCAATGAATGATTACAAAGGATTTACCACATCTCAGGCCACAATAATAAACAATTTGTGTTCTTAAAAGTGGAACATCACCCTACGCCTAAACTGGCCTAAGCCAAAATGACGTATCTACTCCAACAGGACCAAGATGGCAGTGAGGGACAGAGGCACAAACAGATTGCTCCAGGACAACGTTGGAAATGTTGGGCAGGTGAGCGTGTATTTTCAAGAAAAGACAGCATCACAGGTAAGGGAGAATTGGGGTGGAGTGAAGTTCCTCTTTTAAAGTGGAACTAAACCCTACTATACTTACAGCCAAGGAAGCTGCCATCTTAGCCTCTGTTAGATTTGTAGTTGCCATGGTGCTGCACATGTGAGTTAGGACACCAGCCATTTGATCGGTTGGCAGTTTGGTTGAGGGCAAAGCAAATTTGAGAGTTCTTATCCACAGCATGCCTTGACTGTAACGGTTTTGAGGAACCATTTGATTTTTAGGTTTAGTTCTGCTTTAAGTATTTGTTTTCAACCTAGAGCTAAAGTCTACAAAAAAAAAAAAATCTACCAGAAAATTAGTATTGAATAGGCTGGAGGTTTCTCTTGAAAATGTTTAGCCCTCATGTGTGAGCTTTTCATATATGCATACTGTACATCACAGCATATAAGACAACTTTTACCACACTGCACAGCTGTTGTCTTTAGAGAAAAAAAAGTAATTTAAAAGGTATTTAAACAAAGATATGATCATTACTATTAATTTTATTTGTTTTTTAGACAATTCTTCAGAAGTTTTAGAGAATGAGATTGACACTGCAACTCCAAGGACGTTTCGAGCAGGTCATCATTTCCAACATTTCGAACCAATTCCCAATATTACTGATGATCAAGAGCAGTCAACAACATCCAATGACCAGAAAGCTGCACCAGAGAAGCAGACTGTCAACAATTCAACTTTGGCTTACTTAAGAAGCTCTACAAGTACAAAGCTGATACCATCTATATACATCATAGTGATTCTCATTGGTATTCCCGCTAACACTCTCGTCTTACGGATGCTGTTTTCAAAGACCAGAACTGTGTGCACGGCAATATTTTACACCAACTTGGCCATATCCGATTTACTTTTCTGCCTCATGCTGCCCTTCAAGGCGGCATATCACCTGAATGGGAACAACTGGATATTTGGTGAAGCAATGTGCCGAATTGTGACTATATGCTTCTATGGGAACATGTATTGCTCAATTCTGCTCCTCATGTGCATTAGTGTGAGCCGCTACGTCGCCATTGTCCACCCATTCACATACCGGAGTTTACCTAAGCGGACATATGCTGTTCTCCTGTGTTGCTTTGTGTGGATTACTGTCCTCATGTTCATGATACCATTTTTCACAAAGCAGCAGACATATAACTTGAATGAACTTCAGCTGATATCATGCAACGACATATATGAAATATCTGCTGACAAATTTCAGTTCAAATATTTTATATCACTTGCTGTGTTTGGGTATCTCATTCCTTTCACCATGATAATATTCTGTTACTTCTCCATCATAAGAACTCTGGGGACCCAAGAACACAAACGATTAATGTACCTTAAAATAACCATCCTGCTTCTGCTTATATTTGCCTTGTGCTTTACACCAAGTAATATCATTCTCATTGTTCACCAAGTCAATTATCACTACAGTTACAAGGATGAACTTTTTGGAAGCTATCTCATAGCACTGTGTTTCAGCAGTTTGAACAGCTGCCTAGACCCTTTTCTCTATTTCCTTATGTCTGAGATAACAAAACTATCCAAAACCTACTCTGAAATGCATAAAGTGTCTAATGAAACACACATGAAACTTTTGGGATCGTAAAAGGATAATTCATCTGGTCTGTGACTTTTGGTGTAACTGCACCATCTACTGATCATTTGTAGATTTCTGAAAATTACAATACGCCACGCAGAACATATAATAATGAAAAAATGTTTTTTCTACAAAAAAAAGGAAAAGAAAAGTAAAAAGATTACAATATAATGCACTTTATACTAACTATGCCATCTATTAATGGTCAGTTTTAAAAGCCTCTGGAAATAAAGAAGGTACAAGAGTTGGTTCATAAATGAACACTTACCCCAAGGCTGATGTCAAACAGCTGTTATTTCAGTAAGGCTATGCAAAGCACAGATGATTTGCAAAATGCAGTGACTTAGAGCAAACAAATATCCAAAGGTGGAACTCTAGCCATAACCTTTTCTTGTAGTTTTGGGTAGGATGGAAAACAATTAAAACATTTTTTTTTTGGTGCATTTGACCTCACTGTGGCATTTTCCTATTTGTGCCAGTAGCTGAAACGGCTGGAAAGCTTCATTTTATTGCTACCCATTTGTCTGTATGAGATTCCCTTCACTTCCTGTCCCAATGACGTCAGCACAACAGTATGTTTGGGGAAATCTTCCCAAAGGGATCAAACACTGAAAATAAAACCTGAGAGAGGACTGTAAGAAGAATACCAATTGTAAACACGGAGATAATCTTCAGTGCTTTAAATCTTAAGGGGTGCCTGCCTAGCATTATTAAAAATGACTGTTACAAGTTATTGACATTTTATCTTCTATTTTGAAAGTTCCTTTCTTTTTTTTGAATAGGAGTATGGAATGGTTAAACGTCTGTTTATTTTTCGGTGGTTTGTGTCTCTTTGGTGATATTTTTCTTCATTGCCTGCCCTGGAGATACATCAGGAAATGAGAGAAATTCTTTCCAAAGTGTGGAGATTCCCCTTTTAGGGCTCATTCACATGTGTCGCTGGAGGGCAGTTGCGCCAGGTGGTTGAGCTGAGGTTTTACTGCCCCCAAATGCGCACATGCTATGGCTGCAATGCTTTACTCTGTAGCCATGGGAAAAATAAAACAGCATGACCTTTCAGCAAGTGTTGCCACCGCCAAATGTGACAAGTTCAGGTCTATGGGGCTGCCCTGCAATCGTGTGCAATGCAAATGATGCAGCATGGCAGCATGGCATTTAAAGTGTTAAGGCAGGCAGTGATGAGACAACATATCACCTCCTCACTGCCTAACGGGTGTGAATCTTTTCAGAGGAGTAGCAGACCTTGACGCACGTTCGAACAAGCCCTTAGTTGTCTCAGAAATGGGTATCTCCCTGGAAAAATTTCCTCTCACCTTTTATTCTAGTGACAACTGATAAATTTACAAACTAGGAACAAAATAAAAACTTGACTGGGCCCCCAACCTTTCTCTGCTCAATCCAAAACTAGAAAAAAGTTTGGGCTATACAGACACTTTAACGTTTTTGGTTTAGTTGGGAAAAATAAATATCTGCCAAGGGCATTTTTTCCAGTGTCTGATATAGGAGATGGTTGCATGCACTAAGTACATTGATAAACACAATTGTAGAGAATGATCACTGGACACTATGGCACGCTGGTATTGCTATCAGCTTCCCAAATCATGAGATTCACTTTAATTCCTGTCCCAGAGACAGTAATCATAGGACAGGAAGTAAAGGGAAATCTCAACAGGAGCCCAGGAGGTTCTATTTCTTCTCCACTGTGGCCAAACCAAAATAAAAGTCTTGTCTAAAGTTCTCATATTTATTTTATTTAATTATGTGATCAGTTTGTAATTATATTTGTACTCTGAAGAAGCTCATTACATGCCGTTCTTCATGATCAGTACTGCTGCAAAGTGACTGTATTTTTCTCCTCTTCTTATCTTTCTGCCCTATGGGTCAGTTCTGTATCTTATACAATGATTAAATAACCAAATTCTTTAGTACGGTACCTGCACTGTAAATATATTGTACCAAATAATTAAAATATAAATAACTCTATATTTAATATATAGGAAATGTGAAAATGTGGATGTCAAAGCAAAAAGTATTTTCAGGTAAATGTTATAGAAACCTTAGATGTTATTTTGTGAAACGTTTACTAAAGGATTGCTATTTAAAGTGAGTAAAGTTACAAAATCATGTGTGCCAAGGATGCAAACTCACCCAGAAGCACTTGTAATTTTCCGGAACAGGGCTATATTGGATTAAGTTTTACTGACATTGAAGTAAACTAAGCGCAATTTCTGACTTTAGCAAAGTCTTTTGGATATCATTCACACTTCTGTTTTCCCTGTTGTCTGTGAATGTCCTTTAAACTGTTTGTAATGTTTTTCTGTACATTTAAAAATTATATTTATAACATTTTAAATGTCTTTAGTTTCTTATGTAAATCTAATTAATAAAAAAAAATATAGAAATATACAGTGCATTCATAAAGTATTCAGACCCCTTTCACTTTTTTTCAATTTTGTTATGTTGCAGCCTGACACCACAGTTATTTAAGTTTTATTTTTTTTTTCTCATTAATCTACACTCAGTACTCCATAATGACAAAGTGAAAACAGAATTTTAGAAACGTTGGCAAATGTATGCAAAAGAAAAAAAAAAACTGAAATATCACATTGGACAAAGTATTCAGACCCTTTGCAACAGCACTTGAAATTTAGCTCAGGTGCCTCCCCATTTCTCTTGATCGTTACCGAGATGTTTCTACATCTTGATTCAAGTCCACCTATGGTAAATTAACCACTTGTCCTCCAGGGAATTTACGCCCCCTTCCTGACCAGGCCATTTTTTCAGATACGGCACTGCGTTATTTAACGGACAATTGAACTGTTATGCAAAGCTGTACATAAATGAAATTTGTCATTTTTTCCCCACAAATACAGCTTTCTTTCCATGGTATTTGATCATCTCTGCGTTTTTTGTTTTTTTTTTTTGTGCTATAAACAAAAAGACTGTCAATTTAAAAAAAACAAACAATATTTTTGACTTTTTGCTATAAAACATATCCTATAAAAAAAAATTTCAAAAATTACATTTCTTTAGAAATTTAGGGCAGAATGTATTCTGCTACGTCTTTGCTAAAAAAAAATCCCAATTTTTAAATACTAGTAATGGTGGTGATCAACGACTTATAGCGGGACTGCGGCAGGCATTCTGACACCGGATGGGAACGAACGACAACGGATATCTTCAGTGACACTGGGCAGGAAAGAGTTAGCATCTGGGGCAAACAAAGGGTTAACTGTGTGTTGTGCTTACACTGTGTGCTGTTTTACTAGGGAGACATGCTGACAGGAGACAGATCTGTGTTCTCCCCTCTCAGCTTTAGCGACCATCACTGAGTGCACCGAGAATCACTGGTCAGGACCCAGTGTTTGACAGCCGCTGCAACCAAGGGCGGCGCGCGTGCCCCCTACCTGGAACTGATTCTATACACACACACACACGTGATTTTGTGGCCGCCCTGTAGCAGGATATCTGCTATAGAGCGGTAGGGAAGTGGATAAAGTTACTGGATATGATTTGGAAAGGCGCACACCTCTCTATAAAAGGCCTCACAGCTGAGAATGCATATTGCACCAGAGCAAAAGCCATGAGGTCATAGGAACTTCCTGCAGAGACAGCATTATTGCAAGGCACAGATCTGAGAAAGGGTCCTTTCACTCGGGTGTTAGTTTTTTTTTCTTCAGTTCAGTCATGTTTTTTCAAAGAAAAAAACGGATGAGTTTACATCCATTTTTTTCATCCGCTTACATTGGTTTACATCTATTTTTTTATCCGTTTTAATCCATCCACACCCGTTTTTCATCTGTTTTCAGTCCGTTGGCATCTGCTTTTCATCCGTTCAGTTTCTTTTTGCAGAAGAAAAATAGGGGGTTTTCCGTTAAAAATAACAGATGTGGACATTAAAGGATTTAAAAAGACGTTCATCCGTTTACATTCGCAAGTCCATAGAAATACATGGGGGTCAGTTTTTCATCCGTAAACAGACAGATGAAAACCGGAACGCCCGTATGAAAGAGGCCAACGGCTACAAAAAAAAAAAAAATCTGCTGCACTGAAGGTGTCCAAGAGTACAGTGGCCTCCATACATTTCAAATGGAAGAAATTTGGCACAACCAGGACTCTTCCAAGAGCTAGTAGCTCAGCCAAGCTGAGCAATCAGGGCAGACGGGTCTCAGTAAGAGAGGTGACCAAAAACCTGTTGGTCACTCTGACTGAGCTCCAGATTTTCTGTGTGGAGATGGAACAAAGTTCCAGAAGGACAACCGTCACTGCAGCCTGGGCTTTATGGCAGAGTGGCTAGACGGAAGCCACTCCGCAGTGCAAAACGCATGAAAGCCTGCTTGGAGTTTACAAAAAAGCATCTGAAGGACTCTCAGACTGTGAGGAACAAGCTGTTCTGTTCTGATAAAACCAAAATTGAACGGATTGGCCTCAATTCTAAATGTTCTGTCTGGAGGAAACCAGGCACTGCTCATCACCTGCCCAATACTATCCCAACAGTGACATTGTGCTGTACGAGTGTTTCTCAGCAGCAGGGACTGGGAGACTTATTAGGGTTGAGGGAACGATGATTGGAGCAAAGTAAATGATGAGGGCAGACAGCAAGGAGTAAAACTGCAGAAGTGAGAGGAGAGGTGGATGCGTATGGACGGACAGCACAACACTATTAATTTTCTACTCAAATTGTCGTGTGACATTTATTTGGTGTATTAAATGCTAAATAAGTGTGCTTGGATCAAAGTACGTATGCATGTGCCATACCTATTGCATCCCAGTGGAGGCTAAAAATCGTTGTATTGGGCACTGCTACTACAGTGATCTCCACTTGCTTCTGCATCCCATGCCGAGAGAATGCCCTGCTGCTTAATGAACACAGAAGTCACTTGCTCAGCACGGGTGTCATTCAGAGAACACTTTGCCTTTTTTCCATAAATGCAAAGCATTCACTGATTGGATGAGGCAGATATTTAGATGTGACCACTAGTGGTGCACCAAAATTAAAATTCTGGTGC